AATATACCTGGTAGCCATTCGAATGGCTTTTTTTTTCTTTTTTTCTTTTTGAGAAATGTTTGTTTAGGTCTTTTGCTTACTTTTAAATTGGCTTATTTATTTTCTTGCTGTTGAAGTTATTTATATTTTCTGAATATTAGCCCCTTATCAGATATGTGGTCTGCAAATATTTTCTTCTAATCAGTGGGTTGTCTCTTCACTCTGTTGTTTCCTTTGCTGTGCAGAAGGTTGTTAGTTTATTGTAATCCTATTAGTAGATTTTTGTTTGTGTTGCCTGGACTTGTAGAGTCCTACTCAAGAAATCATTGCCCAGACCAATATTGTAGAACATTTTCCCTGTGCTTCCTTCTAGGAGTTTCATGATTTCAGGTCTTATATTTAAATGTTTTACCTGTTTTGAATTAATTTTTGCATATGATGTGAAATAAAGGTCTAATTTTATTCTTCTGCATGTGGGTTTTCAGTTTTCTTCAATTTACTGAAGAGATTTTTCCCCATTGTGTGTTCTCGGCACCTTTGTCAAAAGTCAATTGACAATAAATACTTGGGTTTATTTCTGGGTTTTCTATTCTGTTCTATTGGGCAGTAAGTCTATTTTTATGCCAGTATCATGCTATTTTGATTACAACTGCTTTATATTTTTGAAATCGGGAGGTGTAATTTCTCTAATTTTATTCTTTTTGCTTAAGATTGCTTTGAATCTTCAGTCTTTTGTGCTTCCATATGAATTTTAGGATTGTTCATTTTGCTTTTTTTGTACAATTATATTGGTATTGATAGGGATTGCGTTGAATCTGTAGATAACTTTAGGAAGTATCTATATTTTAATAATATTAATTATTTCAATCCATGAACATGAGATATCTTTCCATTTGTGTCTTCTTCCATTTATTTCATCAATGTTTTATAGTTTCAGTGTATAGATCTTTTACCTCCTTGATTAAATTTCTTTCTAAATATTTTTGGAGGATATTGTAAATGAGATTGTTTTCTTAATTTTGGGGATCATTGTTACCATATAGAAATGTTATTAATTTTTGTATGTTGATTTTGTTACCTGCAACTTTATTGAATTTATTTATTAGTGATAGCATTTTTGAGTGGAGTCTTTACAAGAAAAGAAAACTACAGGCCAATATCTTTGATGTATATAGATGCAAACATCTTTTAAAAATACTAGCAAACTGAATTCAACAGCACATTGAAAAGATAACTCACTATGATCAGGTGAATTCATCTTAGGGATACCAAGATGGTTCAACATACATAAACCAATACATGTGATACATGTGAAGGATAAATATCACATGAGCATCTCAATAGATGCAGAGAAAGAATTTGACAAAATTCGATGTCACTCGTAATTAAAACTCTCAACAAAATAGGTATAACAGAAATGTACATAATGAAGACTATAAATGACAAGCCCACAGCTGATATTATACTCAGTGGTGAAAAGTTGAAAGCTCTTTCTCTAAGATCAGGAACAAGATGAGGGTTTCCACTCTCTACATTTCTATTCTACATAGTGCTGGAAGTTCTAGTAGCCTGAGAAACTAGGCAAGAAAAAGAAATAAAAGATATTCAAATAGGAAAGAAAGAAGGGAAATTGTTTTCTGATGACATGATCATATATAGAGCGCTTTATTACTTTATCTTTCACAATTAGGTCTATGGTACACCTCTTAATTTTTGTGTATGGTATCTTGATTATTGATGAGGCTGACCATCTTGTCATATAGTATTGGCCATTGGAATCCATTCCTATAATTGTATATTTTCATCTCTTTTGTTAATTTATTTTTATGTTTTCTTTATAAACTCTGAATTAAAATTCTTTGTTAGTTACATGCTATTAGAGAAGGCAATCGATGCTAGTTTCAGAAACAAATAAAAGCTGACATCTCAACAGCTTAAAACTTCTCTCCTCCTCATGGCACTGTACAAGGCATAGTGGTACTCCCCTCCCCCACTTCATAGACCCTTTCTCTGGCCCGTGAGCCTCCAAGATACCCTTGAAGGGAAGAGAGGCAGAAAGACCTTGAAGGTGGCATGAAGGTAGCAGGCATCTCTCTGTGCACTTTTAATTGATAGAAACTCATCATGTTGCCCTAACTAACTGCAGCAGACCGAACCTTGTGACCTATGTGCCCAAGGTAGAGACAGTGAGCCCAGCAGACTCCACCATGATGCCCCACAGATGGCTTCTCCCAGGGCAGACTTGATCATAACTTTGGTTGTGCTTGTGCTTTTGTATGCATGTGTTATATGAGGGAGAACCCAAACAAAACAAAATTCTTTTTTGGAGGGCGGGCCCCTTGTACAGTACAGGCTTCCCTCACCAGGTAAATGTTCTAGGAACCCATCAGTATCAGTATACCATCTAGCATTGTTGTGAGAGGCTACATTTGACTACAGTGAATTTTGGGGAGAGATTCTTTCAGTGTGTGTGCCTATTTCCTGATGGGTGATTTATGAGTGCACCTGCCCACAACTGTGCTGAGTGTTCAGCAGTTTTTGACCAAAAAACTGGCATGACCCCCGTGTCCCGCCTTCCCTATTCACCAGATCTCACCCCAAGTGATTTTTTGTTTGTTTGTTTGTTTCCCTGGGCGAAAAAAATCCTCAAAAGAAAACTTATTGTTGATGTGGAAGAGGTGAAACAAAAAACAGAAGCACTAAAAGGCATCAAAATTGATGAGTTCAAAATCTGTTTTGAGCAATGGAAAAAGCATCTTAATAGGTATCTTGCATCAAACAGAGAGTACTTTGAAGGTGACTGAAGTTTAAATGTAAGAATAAATGCATAATTTTTTATAAATAAATTCTGTTTTGGGGGTGGGTCTCCCCTTCATATATTTTGTGCATTTTACTGCATTCAAGATAGTATTTCCTCTAATGATTTGTGCATTTTGCATTTTGTGTGAGAAATCTGTCCTTCCACCAAGGATGGCAGTAGGCATTGATGTTCGGTGGTGGGTAGTGAATGCATGGGTGACAAGAGGTGGTTTTAGCGTCTATGGTGTGGTCAAGAACAGACAACCCCTAGGAGAATGCCACTTTCCCCAGTCCCCCCTGTGGGTGATGTGTCTTCTGTTGGAAACACCTGCATGTGGTTCTGACATTCCACCCACTGCAATTGGAAAGGAACTTGATGTTTCTCCCACACATGACTCGCCTTCCCTGACGTTCACGCAGGGATGTGAGCATCAACGGACCCCCTGGAAGTTGGGTGGGGGTGTTTGCACAGACAGGTCAGATGCCAGGATGCTTGGATATGTCCCAGGGGAGGAGCTGAGAGCAGAATTCACAGAGGAGGCCGTGCAGGCTTCCCCAAGCAAGTTCTCTTTGTTTTACTATCTGTGGACTCAGGTGCCAGGCACTCTGGGGGTTCACCATGAAGTCCCTCTGTCACTGGAGAGGCAGAGAGAGCCATGAGGAAACCTTGGCTCACCCCTTTTGCATAGGATAGGGGGCTGAGTGCTGGGCAGGGGCTCTGTTTCCTGTTGGACTGTGCTCTAGACTAGCACCAAGGCTTGAGGCCATGGCCTCTATGGATACCCATTCCATGAGGCAGAGGCAGCTATCTCAAGCATAGAACACCCCTTCTCCTTGTGAGACTAGGGCATCCAGGCCTCAGAATGGCTTCCTTCTCTGCCTCCACCTTCTCCTGAGCAGGAGACAGAGGAAGTGTGACCAGACGTGTACCTGTCCTAGGACAGCATTGTCCTCATTGGGGAAGGGCAGCCTGGCCTGTGTCAGGGGACCCGAGACCATCCCAGGGTTGGGAATTCACTGAGAAGACAAGGGTCGGGCAGGTCATAGTTCTTGTGGCTGTTTTGTGAGAGGACGCAACAAAACCAGCAAAGGGAAAAGTCACGCGGAAGTCCAAGTCTAGGTGAAACCAGGCACAGGTTCGTGGAATCTCTTGGACGAAGGTCACGCAGAACACATCTAATCACTCCACATGCAGCTGCAACAATTGTGTGTGAGATGTTGTCTACCGGGGAGCATGTTAGCAACTCCACGCCCAGGGTTGTCACTGGGGGCTGGACACACAGGCACTTTCCAGGGATGTGCCAAAATTCCACATGCCCAGAGGGATTGCAGGTGTTCTGCATACACTGCATTGTTTATACAGACAGTTGAGACCCAGTGAGGCTGGTGGTGGGAGCCCTCCTGACATCCAAGTGCCTGGATGCCAGCCCAGGGCCAGCCTTGCTAGCAGGGCTCAGGATGGCTGTCCCTAGCCTGCTGTGGGCACTTTTCATGTGCAGGGTCTGTGTGGTTCACCTTGTGAAGCTGGGTGACATCCATTTCAGGGGTGTCACATGAAGGGTGGCCCTCACCAGGGTGGGTCCCACTGTCGGGCCACTCACCCTTTGTGTCCCTGAACATGTGTCTGTCGCTTGGTTATACGTGTGTGGGAGTGGTGCAGGGCTTCCTGGATGTGGTGGCCTGTGGGAGGAGCCCAGGACCAAGTGTAGGTGGGGACCACCAGGCTGTGAACAGAAATGAATTCTGGTCATGTTTTTCAGGAAAAGCATTTATTGGAAGGGTGTGACATGCTCCCAGAGTCAGGGAGGATAGAGAAAGAGGCTCAGACCCAAGAGAGAGCCAGGGCCACACCAGGGGCCGGGATGCAGAATCATTCACAGGCCCAGCTGAGACAGCAAAGAGAAGCCAGCTCCAAATATGTCTCCTCTCTTGCTTCATGGCACGAATGTGCAGTGGCCTCATATGCTCAACTGGCCTCACTCAGGTCACTGCCCACCCGAGGCGGGGAAGCAGGGCTAACTGATGGGGGAGTCAGTACTTGAAGAAATAGCTGAGCTGCTCCCAGGAGGAGCAATGCACACTGGGTGGCCAGGTGACCACTGATGTCCACTACGGAGGCCCAGGACAGGGGACGTGGATGGCCATCATGGATATTAGTAAGAAATACAGGGGTGCTAGTGGCTGTGTGCACTCAAGCGTTGGAGTGATCTTAAAGAGATCATTCAGCAGCTGAACTTCTGGGCCGAGGTGGAACTGCAGCAGGCTGGGCGGGAGCACACAGGGCGGCAGACAAGGGACACGCAGGAGGTTGGGCGGCAGCAGCTGGGCTGGCAGGAGGAGGCAGGGGCACAACAGGAGGGGATGGGCACGCAGCAGGCAGGCTTGCACACGGGGTGGCAGAGGAGGGACACGCAGGAGGAGGGTCTGCAGCAGGAGGAGGTGCAGCAAGTCGGCTGGCAGCTAGACTGCTGGCAGCATGAAGAGGAAGCCCCAGAGCAGGTGGGCACACAGCAGACGGGCTTGCAGCACACAGGCATGCAGCAGGGCTGCTGGCAGGGGGAGGAGGTGCAGCAAGCTGGTTGGCAGCTAGACTGCTGGCAGCATGAAGAGGAAACCACAGAGCGGATAGGCTCACAGCAGACAGGCTTGCAACATACAGGCTTGCAGCAGATGGGCACACAGCAGGCCTGCTGGCAGGGAGAGGAGGTGCAGCAAGAGGGCTGGCAGCTAGACTGCTGGCAGCAGGAAGAGGAAACCTCAGAGCAGATAGGCTTGCAGCAGACAGGCACACAGCAAGCCTGCTGGCAGGGGGAGGAGGGACAGCAAGAAGGCTGGCAGCTAAACTGCTGGCAGCAGGAAGAGGATGCTCCAGAGCAGATGGGCCCACAGCAGACAGGCTTGCAGCAGATGAGCTTGCAGCAGACAGGAACACAGCAAGCTGGCTGGCAACTAGACTGCTGGCAGCCTGAGGGCGTGCAGGAGCTGGTGCAGGCTGACTGGCAGGGGCTGGACGCACAGCTCACTGGGGTGCAGATCAGGCTCAGGCAGGGGGCTGGGGCGCAGCAGCTGGGGGCACAGCAGAGGGGCTCGCAGCAGCTCTCTGGACAGTCATCCACCTGCCAGGACTCGGAGCCAGAGTCACAGGACCCGGGCAGGCAGACCCGGCTGCCGGAGTTCAGGTTGCTGGAGCAGACAGACACGGTGGACGCGGCCATGCTGGGGGTTGAACTGGAAAGGTGAAGTGAATGAGGGAGTGAAGGAGGGTTTGACTGAGTGTGCTCAGTGCTCGAGTCGTGAGCTTTTATATCCCCACTCGTGTTTGTTGTCCCAGACCAGAGGCTCATCCACCTCCCCTTCCTTGTTTGTGTTTAAAGCCTAGGAACTTATTACTACCTGCTTCATGTTGAGTCCTACGAGATGTTGTTGAGCTTGTAAAAGTCCTGAGTGTATTTTTTGTGTCTGGTGACACATCCTCACCTGCCTTTTGCCCCAGAACACAATGCTGCAGTGGACAGGGTATATTTTTGCAAACAGAGTGTCCCCCTGGGGTCTGTGTGACTGTGTGAGTAAGACTCATCTTAATCCCAACCGACCTTGGGCCATCACTCAGACGCTGCTTTCTGGGCTGCTGTGGCTTCTGGAAACCAGGCTAGAGCACCCCCAGTCAAAGATGGCCAGAGAGTGTGACATTCTGGAAGACTCCCTATACTCTCTGGGTGGCACGAAGTCCCCTGGGAGCTTTAGAGCAGGTACACACAGGCCACGGTAGACAGAAACATGGCCCATCTCCCGGTGGGATGGCAGTGGTCTCTGGTGGGCTTCTGCCTCCCACCTGAGTGCCTAGAGAGGCCCCAGATCTCTGGTGTGTCTCTGGTGTGTCCCCACCTTTCCATCTCCACTGGCTGTTATCTCAAACAAACCTGTGGGTCTAAACCCAAACTCTGTGCGTATCTCCTCAGCAAGCAGCAAGCCCCCAATGAGGCTGCCATGAGAAAAGCAGTCATGATTTGTTCTTCCTGTCTACCTTCTTTGTTGTTAACTGTCACCCAGCTAGACAGCTAATCTGAATCTCCCTTCTTTCTGTAAATAAGATCCAGCTGGCCACCAAGTCCTGCTGCTTTTTTCTGCTGAGTGCTCCCTATTCTACCTGATACTTTTTTTTTTAAAGATGGGGTCTTGTTCTGTCACCTAGGCTGGAGCACAGTGTCAAAATCGTGGCCCACTGCAGCCTTGACCTCCAGGGCTCAGACAGTCCTTCCACCTCTGTCTCTTGAGTAGCTGGGATTACAGGTGTGAGCCACCACACCTGGTCAATTTTACCCAATACTTTTACTTCCCAAGCATTGATTTACTCCTGATGCAACAAGTCCCCATGTGCTGGGAACAATACCAGGTGCCCAGAGTGCCAGGTGAAGGAGTCTTAGCCCTCCCTGGGGACCCACCAGCATGGAAGGATCAGCAATGGGTTTGCTGCCCTGCAAGGTCAGTGCTGACCCAGCACAGCGCAGCATGCATGGGGCCCATGTGGCCCCTGCAAAGGTGGGACCGCTTCATGGGCCTCTCTGGTGGGATCTCACACCCAGGTGCATCTCAGTGGTTCAATTTCCCTGCTTCCTGGCTGTCATTTGTCTCTATCTGTGGTTACTCAACTCCTAGGGAACTAAGGAAGAACACAGATGGCCTTGGGAGTTCTAGAAATTCAGTTGCATTGTGGACTGGATTGTCTTCCTTCCTTCCTTTCTTCCTTCCTACCTTCCTTCCTTCCTTCCTTTTGGTAGAGAAGACATCTTGCTATGTTGCCCAGGCTGGTCTCCACCTCATGGTCTCAAGTGATTTTCTGGCCTCAACCTCCCAAAGTACTGGGATTATAGGCATGAGCCACCACTCCCAGCCTATATTTTAAATTATAAAAATAATGTAAATTTGAGCCTGGTCCAGACCCTCCAGAGATACCAAAACTTTTCCTATAGACTAGAAGTATATTGAGAGCAGGAGAGAGAGGGGAGAGAGAGAGAGAGAGAGAGAGAGAGAGAAGAGAGAAGAGAGAGAAAGTCTACTTCCATCTAGACACAGAAGCTAGTACCAGACATATACTGCCACTGGCGACAACTTGAAACAGTTAATAATGTTTTTTAAAAATCCATTTAAGGTTTATGAGCACCGTCCATGAAACTCAACATAATGAAATGGCATTTTCAAGGAGCTGAAAGTAAATCACTGAAAACTTGGAGTTCTAAACCAGGAAGAACATGGTTCAAGGTGACGGTGAAATAAGGCCGACAAAGACGAAGCGGGTTCACCCCAGAGACCCCCCCCAAAGCAAACGTGTCCAGGCAGAATAACCGAAAGATGGACACACAGGAAGGAATTGGAGGGATCTGAAAGAGGAACACTGGGCAAATACGGGTGGTAATTGACGTGCACTCGAATTCAAAGTATCATGATGTGATACATATTATCTTTGTAATGTCTTGGGGGGGCCTAAGGTATGAAAGTAGAAATAAAAAGCTTGAAACATTAGCAATAAGAGATGAGAAGGATAAATGGAGTGAAATTTTTCTAAGGTCTTTGCGTTGCTTTGGAAGCAGTAGAAGTGTTAATGGATGTTAGACTTGGATAACTTGAATAACTTTGAACGCACACTGTCATCTCTAGGGCGATTCCTGAAGGGACAGCAAAAAACTATGTGTAACTAATGATGAGTACAACAGAAGTGGGAAAATGAATAACATAAACAATTGATTAATCCAAAGTAGACACGAACTGATATTTTAAAAGAAACAAAAAATTGGGACAAATTGAAGTTACATGATTAGATGATTGCTATAAACCAAATTATCAGTAATTAAATTAAATATAAAATACTTAAGATATTCCAATTGAATTAAAAACAAAGATTGTTCATCTGGAGAAAAAAACAGAAGACATAACTATGTGCTTCTTCCAAGAGATAGAGCCTAAATACAAGGGAGCAGAAGGGTTGGAAGCACCAAGACGGAAGAAGATACACTGCTCGAACCCTAACTAAAAGCTGGTGTGACTTAGGAGTACTAGATAGATTTTAGAGCAAGAAGCATTATCAGAGATGACAAAAGACATTTGATAAAGTTAACAGAGTCGACTTACAAGGAAGATATAACAATTCTAAATTTGTATATGCCTAATTACATACAGCTTAAAAATATAAACAAAAATAGAGCTTAAAGTAGAAATAGAGAAGGAAAGATCATAGTGGGGACATTAATACACATCTCTTAATAATTGATGGAAAAATAATCTTAGAATGGAAAAGACTATCCTAAGTTGGAAGTTAAACACGAAGCCATAAAAAAATCCTGGTAACTCTAATTATGTAAAAATGTTAAAATTGCACAAGATAAAACATCGTAAGCAAAGTCAAAAGACAAACAACACTATGAGAAACATATTTATCATGCATATTACTGAGAAAGGGCTAATTTACTTAATCTCCAAAGATCTTAAGATCCAAAGATATCCAAGATCAATACCAACAACATAACAGAAAATGAGCAAAGGATACAGAGTGACAATTGAAAGAAATACACGTGGATGTCAAATATGAAAATATGTTAACCCCATTCAAAATGAGAGAAAGCAAATTCAGTGAGGATATGATATCATTTTTCATATATGAAATTAGAAAGGATGAAGGTCCTTAGTGCATCCAGCACAGGTTAGGCAGGGTGTGGCAAGCCCCTCTAGTCATTGTACTGCTGGGCTGTCAATGACCCCATAGCTTTGGTGGGCAGTTTGCTGCTATGTGTTGAAATTCAAAACCTCCTACCTTTGAGCCTGAATAATTAGCAATTTATCCTAGAGATATTTTTGGATAGGTATGGGATGTGTGCAAATGTATCACAGCAGTGAGCTTTCCAGATGGTGAGAGACAGACTCTAGAATGAGCTCATGTCTTCCACCTCCTGGTGTTCATGTACTAGGTGTCCTACCCCTTGAGTGTGGGCAGGGCCTGTGACTTGTATAGACACAAGGCACATGGCGAGGGTAACAGAATGTGCATGATCACATTACCCATAATTGTAACGCCTGTCTTGGAAGGACCCTCCCTCCCTGACTGGCTATGAAAAAACTACCTATTGTGTGCAGTCAATGAAGAGGTCACATGGAAAGAGATGAGGGCAGCCTCTAGTTAACAGCCAGTGGGAAACTGCGGTGTTCATTCTGATAGTCTTCAAGGAACTGAGTTCTGCCAACAACTGTGTAAGCATGGATCCTTCCCAATGAGCACTTTGATGCAGCCCCACAGATAGCTCAGTTTAGTTATACCCAGACTCTAGACCCACAGAAACCGTGAGATAATAAATGTATGTTCCTGTAGCCACCAAGATTGTGATAATCTGTTACGGCAACAGAAAACAAACCCACAGGCCAATGTGGAATTCTATGCAGCTATAAACAGGAAAGAGAGAACTGTATGTAGTCATAGGAAAGAAACTCCAGGGTGAATTAAGTGTTTAAGAAACATAGTAGGTACAATATGACACAATTTGTATTGTTAAAATTTATATACACAGAGACATTACGTGTATGTATATATATGCTATACATAGAGACTGGAGAGATTAGATCAATAGATAGATCAACAGGCAGACACAGTCAGTTCTCACTATTCATAGATTCCATATTTGTGTGTGTTTTTTAAAAAAACTCTCTAACATTTATTTGTTACCCCAAAGCCAATACTTCTGGTGCTTCTGTGGTCATCTGTGGGCATTCACAGAGTGGGGAAAATTTGAGTCTCTTGATTTACACTTTCCCACTGAGGCTGAGCAAGGTGGTGTTTTGCCTTTTGTCTCAGCTCTCATACGATAGACAGGTATCCTTCTTATCGTTTCTTTAGTGCCACCACATTTTCCTCCATTATGCTTGTGACTTTGCTGTTTCAAATGCACCCACAAACAGTCTGAAGTTTTTCCTATGGTTCTGAGCCTATGAAGGCTGCAGCAAGTCTCATGGAGGAAACTCGTGTGTTTGACAAATCTCATTCAGGCTGAGCTGCAGTGCTGTAGGCTGTGAGTTCAGTGTTAGTACAACACCAACAATACAGATGAACTAAGGTGTCTTCAGACAGAATCACACATAAAACAAGTTTAAGTGTTGATCAGTTGGTGACACTGTTGTGACCAGAGGCTCATGGGAAACTTACCCTGTGTTTCCTGTAGGAGCGATGGTCCAG